TATTAGAATAAGTTTGAGTGAAAGTATTTAATGCAGAAAATATATTATTCTTAATAACAGGAGAAGTAAGGTAACTATTTTTTTTAATTGTGACAAAAGAGAGACTTACTTTTCAATGTTTAATATTGCTTTCTGTAAAACATCTCTAGATAGTTCTGTTCGTTCATCAACAGTTGGATATTTTGTTAGTTGTCTCCAATAAGTCCTTCTTTGATACCTTAAACTACCAAACAGTTTAAATTGTTTCATACTAACAAAAGAATATACCATCAATATCGGGATTAATATGTTTATACACAAAACAATTCAGAAAAAGGTACAGAACAATAAAAAAAATATGTACAAAACTTAAAATATATAAAAACACTTCACCATCTATGGGTGCGCCAAGTTATTGAAGCTCATGACAGTTTTATTTAAAACATAAAAAAAAGACTGACATCAGTTTTCCTTATCGGTGACTTTATTTATGTTGCAAAAGTGTGTAAATATTAATAAAATTTGTTTTACGTTTAAACGCTACCATGCATTCTAGTTAGTTATAACATTTTTAAGTTTATAAGGGTAATGAGACTGACATCAGTTTTCCTTATCGGTTTCTATCGTTTAGTTAACCTGTGAAATAATAAATGAACTGAAAACAAAACCATAACGAAATAAAAATAGAATTTGCTACCTCACATTCTTTGCTCTTTCGAAAAAGTGATTACATTAATCACTCCTAAATTCCCAATTTTCGTATCCTTATTTTTAACGACCACGTTATACTGACATCATGAATCCTGCCCAGTTTAGGTACATATACCTTACAAAGAAAACTCGTTCATGTTCTTCAATCTTCACCTTCTCTACTTTCCGGCTAAGGTTACGGGAAATCCTCGAGTTCAAAGACAAGCTAAGCTGCAATAATTAAATGACTAGTTAGAACAGATTAATTCATGTGATCATTATTTACATACTATTTATCAATGTTAAATATCTGTACGTCACCGATATGGGAAACTGGTGTAAGTCTGATAACTCGTAGAATCTGAAAGTTAATGCGATTAGCTAGGAGGTGAGTTAGCGTTTAAGTGTAAACTGAAAATTTACAGATAAACTAAACGATAGAAAGAATAAGTTACCTGTAAAAAACAAAAACATAACAAAATAAAATAGTTTGCTACATCACACTCCTTTCGAAAACAGAAGTTAGTACATTAAATCACTCCTAAATTCCCAATTTTCGTATCGTTACTTTTAACACCCTCATTATACAGACACCAAGAATCCTTTACAGTTTCAGTACAGATACCTTACAAAAAGAAATAGTTCATGTTCATGAATCTTCATCTTCTCTACTTTACTGCTCTGGTTCACTTTACAGGAAGTGTTCGAGTTCAAAGACCACTTACGTTAGGCAGAGGATATAAATGACTCATCAGCACGTTACGTCGAAGGATGAGAAGTGGACACACCAGAATTAAGGTATTTTGATGGAAGGGAAGCCGCAATCCAAAAGCCTTCTTGTGCCATTTAAATTTTCTGGAACAGCATAGGACGATGACCATTTCTTCTGGTGTCTAAAAATTTTCTGGAAAAATATTTTAGAAACGTAAAATTGTCCTATTAACACGATATAACCCAATTTATATAAAAATGGAGAAACACAAGTCGTAACTTTCAACTATTCATTCAGTCTTAGAATAAAGTTCAGTAAGAGTCACTCCAGAACATATTTGATGTATTCTTAACGATAGTAGCGAGTTACCTACTTTTAATTGTA